ATTAAAAAAATTTCTTTACATAATATTTATTAAATTATAAATAATTTGAAAAAAAATTTGAAAGTCCTCAACTTCTTGATTCTGTAATTCTATTTTCATATTTTTCACAAATCAAGAAATAGTTAAAAACAAGTCTGATCACGCCGGGAATCATATTTTCTTGAATGAAGACCAGAAAATGCTCATTTTGCATATAAAAGACAATATGAGAGAAACGTTTGTTTTGCATGTTTCTATGCAAGTGACAGTAAAAATCACTAACATTTGTGAGGTTCATTGAATTAAACATGTATGACATATTCAAAGACTTTTTTAGGATGACATAAAAGTGCATTTGCTGAATATCATTATTAATATATATACAGTATATAACTTGCTACGTGTACTGTGTTAGGCTAACCGAGACTTTTCATAGCACTGGCATATTATTGCTCTTTTGTTGATTCTGATTGCTTCTGTATGTTCTCATTTGTAAGTAGCTTTGGATAAAAGCGTCTGCTAAATGACTAAATGTAAATGTAATATGGATAATTAATATATATACAGTATATAACTTATATATATAACTTGCTACGTGTACTGTGTTAGGCTAACTGAGACTTGTCATAGCACTGGCATATTATTGCTCTTTTGTTGATTCTGATTGCTTCTGTATGTTCTCATTTGTAAGTAGCTTTGGATAAAAGCGTCTGCTAAATGACTAAATGTAAATGTAATATGAAAAATATAATAAATCATGTTTGTGAGTAACCACATATATAGGCTAATCATGATTATCTGTTAAACCATCATGCAGCATGACTAAATGTGACTAAAATGATATTTACGATGATAAAATATGATTGTGAAATATATACTCATATATGTTTTCAATGACTAAAATTTTCAGACTTTTCGTCAACTAAAACTTGACAAGGTTGAGTAAGTATTTGACATTTGACACAGGACTAGCTGACAGAATGAACTCACGATTTGCCGTTCTCCTCGCCCTCAGCTTCTCGTGGACCAGGAACGGGATGCATTTTGACATGGATAAGGATCCTAAAGTCCTGATGAAGCCTCGTTCAGGGACGCTGGTGATGGACATCAGCGGAGGAGAGCGTGCCGAGGCGTACGAGGGCGTCTATCAGTGCTCCGCTCACAACGAGCTCGGCACCGCCGTCTCCAACAGCATCATCATCCGCCAGTCCAGTACGTCACATCAGTCACAGCACAGCTTCCACACTCTCATCTGCCTCTGTTTAACCCTGCTATCTCTCACTGTTCTGTGTCGCAAAACATTCTCAACATCCTCAGACATCTGATATTCGGAGGTAAATCTCAACGTTTGACTGTGATGCATGCGGCGGCTCAATCCCACAGACGGATCCTCATAGTCACTCAGTGTTTAGATCTCTCTCCTCAACACTCTCCACTCACCGCTTCTCAGCTCCGGTTGAAAAACCTGAGTTTAAAGGGATAGTTCACCCAAAAATGAACATTTGCTGATCATTTATGATGTAGTTTAATTTTTTCTTCAGTAGTACAATAAAGATGTTTAGCTGAAACCGTGGTTTTTGGTGATTCATATAATTCAAGTCAATAGGTATCAGCACTTTGAAAGTAAAAAAAAAACATTTCAGACACAGAATTAATCGCCATGGCTCCTTATGATATTTTGAGGTCTTATGACTTTTTCCTTCAGTAGTACAATAAAGATTTTTAGCTGAAACCGTGGTTTTTGGTGATTCATATAATGCAAGTCAATAGGTATCAGCACTTTGAAAGTAAAAAAAAAAAGCATATCAGACACAGAATTAATCGCCATGGCTCCTTATGATATTTTGAGGTCTTATGAAGCGAAACGAACAGTCTGTGCAAGAAACTGAACATTATTTACTATAATCCAGAGCCTCAGACAAATGATCCGGAGTGATGTCCGGTTCACGAACGAATCATTTTTTTGAATCAGTTCTTGCTGGTGAACTAGTTGAACCAGTTCATCAAACTGGACTGAACCGTCCGAAAACACAGATCTACAAAACACACTTTTGTAAAAATGTTCTAAATAATGTTCAGTTTCTTGCACAGACCAATCGTTTCACTTCATAAGACCTCAATAGATCGTCAGGAGCCACATGTATTCATTCTGTGTTGCCTGATATGTTTTGTGTTTTTTGTTTTTAATCTTAAAGTGACGATAGCTATATCTGAATGGCCTGAGGGTGAGTAAATTAACACTGAATGTTCATTTTTGGGTGACCTGTCCCTTTAAGCTTCACCTTCACGGTTGTGTTGAGTCATGTGATCATTCCTGTTTCTGCAGGATCTCCTCTGTGGTCTAAAGAGAGAATCAGTCCAATCGTTGCACAGAAGGGACAGTCTTTAATTCTGCACTGCCGCCCCCCCGCCGGCCTCCCGCCGCCCATCATATTCTGGATGGACAACAGTAAGCGAAATGAAAATTCACCCTGCTTTCTACATGCATGTTAGTGAGCATCAATAAATGTTTTGATCTCGTAATGTTGAATTAAACTGGATCTTCAGTGGTGTATGCTGGTCTTCTCCAATCATTTAGTGCTAAACTCCTAAACTCCGCCCCTGCTAGAGTGCCACGCCCACATCTTAACATCCAATCAGCGACAGATTAACAGAACCAAGTCCCGCCTTTTTTTCATTAATCCGTGACACTCAGATGTACACAATACGGAAGAAAAGATCTGATGCTATTTTCACTTAATTGCGACTTTCATAACAATAATGAAAATATTACAGACTTTTGTATCAGCAGAAACCTGCTGGATTCACGAAAATCGAAACTTCTCAAAATAAATTCATACATCATTTATCCATTTATACATATATCAATAGCATTAAAAAATAAGCGTGTACACTTCATAAGTATACTATATAAAAATTATATTAAATAATTGTAAGCAAATTCTTGTAACCAAACCAAAAATATCTATCAAAAATATCATGCCAAAAACATTCCTCTAAAGAAAAATTTTTGTGAAATATAATCCTTTTGTTTATATTTTTGCATAATATTTGTATTATTCATGAATGTTAGTGTACACACTTTTTATGCTATTGATGATTTTTATGCATGTGTTTTAGTCAACTTTATTAGATGCATTACGGTAACATTTCTATAAATAGAATCAGGTGTGCTATTGTCTGTTATGACACTGATGACAATGTGAATCAAAAACATTTTTACTTTAGGGCTTTTTGGCCTCTTAATAAAGTGTTTTTTGTGAGAAGTTTTTTACCAATATGTGTGATCTCCTCTCTTTGTTGAATTTTGTTTTTTGAGAGTAGGCATTAAAGTATTTCTGATCCCTCTGAGTGCAATTGTTGAAAAGAAGTTCTCTAATATTTCCTTAAGAACATTTAAAAACATTTTATAGATACGATTGTATAGCAGTTCTCAACAAAGACTAGCTGATAAACTCAATGAAAAACACCTCAAAGGCTGTGCTTTTGTATAAAATTGAAGAAAATAGCAGATAAGAAGAATGTTATTCTTTAGAATGTTTTGTGAGTCCTGATAAAAAATACTTTTTATTTTAGCAGCATGTTTCAGTTTGAATCTTGTTTGTATTTAAACGAGTTTCTTGTCTTTGCAATCTTTTAGCCCTTATGAAAGTCTGTGCGCTGAAGCACGGTGGCAAAATAAACCGTATTATTCTTTTCAGTCCCACTTTCTGATTTTGACTTCTTCTTCACTCCACAAGTGTTGATGCTTTAAAGAGGTTTGTTATTTCTCTGCATGCAGCTCGCTGATTTTGTGACGCTGCACCAGAATAACTCTGCAGAACCGGATCAGATGTGTAATGTGTTCGCTTCAGATCTCACTCATGTCTGTGTGTGTCTGCGCAGATTTCCAGCGTCTGCCGCAGAGCCGGCGTGTGTCTCAGGCTCTGAACGGAGATCTCTACTTCTCCAACGTCCAGCCGGAGGACTCCAGGAGCGACTACATCTGCTACGCTCGCTTCCCGCACACGCAGACCATCCAGCAGAAGCAGCCCATCAGCGTCCGTGTGCTCGACAGTGAGTGCTGTCCATTCATCACGCTAATGAAACAAAGAGAGCTCTGAATGCCCGCTGTGAGACACTTCTGTCTGCATGTCTTTGATTTGTGCTGTTGTTTTGTTGTGTTACAGTGGATTCACTCAATGACACACTGGCAGATTATTTCAATGACACTGATTTGTTTAGTGGTGAGTGATGGCGCCCCCTAGTGACCCTCCTTTAACCAACCCCTCGTCCTGCCGGTTAACCAACACCCGGTTTACTCTAACCTATACTCCCTCATTCACGCACAAATCCGTCTTTTATTAAAGCCCTGGTTTCCTGGACTAATCGATCTCAGATCTCTAATCGATCGAATCTTCTGCTTTAGAAACTCAATGATCTTATATCAGACTTTGGGAGGTTTGTCTCTCTCTGTTCGTTAATGAACTCTGTTTGTCTCTTCATCTTCCTGATTTCTGTTATTCCTCTGTTGCTTTCCATCTAGTTCTTCTAAACCTTGATTAGTTCTCTTCATTTTAATTCAGTTCATTTCACGTGTATTTGTACTTTTATTCAAGAGCAGCTTCACAGAAAGGTTTGTTTCATTGTTTCGATCCTGAAGCTGTTTTCAGTCAAAGCTGAGCGTGTTAAAGTAATGTCAATATGGCAGTAATATAATTACCCTCATGCATTCAGTTAACCCTTGTGCTGTTCTAATTTGGTGTTTCTGGTCAAAAATGACTGGCTTTTAAAAAATTGCTCTCATCACGCTGTAGTATCATAAATCTTGGATTTAATATTTTTGTCAACTCGTTTTCTTTCACTCAGCACAGGTTTTATATTTATTTTTGGACTGGTTGATCATAGGGTTAATTGATCTGATCTCATGCACCTCAGTTTTTGAGTGAAAAAACATTATTTGTGGATATGTTGGGCAATATTCACTCGAAAGCTGAGATCCCAGATCAGTGAGGCCTAAAATCAATCAATTCCATGAAGAAATATAAAACCTATGCTAATTGAAAGAAAACAAGCGTGTGTGTCTGTGAATGTGTGATTGTGTGTGTGTGACTGACGCAGGGTGTTTGTGTTTGTTTCAGATAAACCCGCAGAAGAGCGAGCACCTGTGTTCATGGTTCCCAGTGAATCCGTCAGCTCTAAAATGGTTCTGAGAGGAGAGGTTCTAGAGATGGAGTGCGTCGCTGATGGCCTGTGAGTTCAGATCCTCTCATCTGTGTTCACACGTTTGGTTTAAATGATTGTGAAATATGATTTTTTATTTTGTGCATGTGCATTCCCATAGCTCAAACAGTAGATGGTGGTGCATGGGATTGATTTGCCAGGGAATGCATGAACTGCTGAAATGCAATGCATCTTTGTTTGCTTCGGATAAAACAGGGTTTCTGTGTTGACCTGTAATGTCCCTCGTATTCCTGTTCAGTCCCACTCCTGCGGTCTCATGGGTTAAACGCAACGGTGAGATTCCCAGCGGACGAGCGTCCTTCCTGAACTTCGATAAGACTCTGCGGATCACGGATGTGTCGGAGGCGGACGCTGGAGAATATCGCTGCATCGCCAAGAACCGGCACGGCTCTGTTCACCACAACATCAGAGTCACGGTTAACGGTGAACACACAGTCCTGTCCAAGACGCTCCACAGACAGTCCTAATTCAAATTAAAGCTCTCTTCTGTATTTCTCAACATCATTGCTTACATTCCTGATAATTAAACTCGCGTCAGACTCTTTGATATCCGAATATTTTTCACTGAAGTCAACCAATCGTATCTATATTGATGCTTTCTGAGAATTATTTACTCTTGCTCGCAAAACCAACCGTTATCTAAATTCCTTTTAATTTCCTTGTGAACACTCATTTTTCATATTATATAATATTTCTATTATTACTTTTTAAGAATAACTTACTCTCGCTTTGAACAAAACTGACCATCATTTAAATATTTAATAGAAGAAAACCAACCGATATTTAAGTATCTTAATTTAACAAAACTGACTGATATTTAAATCTCTCAATAAAACAATATTGGCCAATATTTAAATAATTTAGCAAGATCGACTGATATCTTAGTATCTTACTTTTACAAAACAGAGTTATATTTAAATACCTTAAAAGAATAAAACGAACCAATATTAAAATTTCTTAATAGAGCAAAAGCAACCAATATTTTAATCTCTCAAAAGAACAAACCTAACAGATATTTAAATATCTAAATTTAACATAAATTACTGATATTTAAATATTTATTAGAAGAAAACCAACCAATATTTAAATATCTTAATTTAACAAAACAGACTGATATTTTAAATCTCTTAATCAAATGATACTGACCAAAATTGTCTTCTCTTAGTAGAAACAAAAATAAGCAATATTTAAATACCTTAAAAGAATAAAACGAACCAATATTTAAATGTCTTAATAGAACAAAACTAACCAATATTTTACTCTCTCAATAGAACAAAACCAACCGATATTTAAATATCTTCATTTAACAAAAACCAACCAATATTTAAATATCTTAATTAAACATAACTAAACGATATTTAAATATCTTCATTTAACAAAAAATACTGATATTTAAATATTTAATAGAAGAAAACCAACCGATATTTAAATATCTAAATTTAACAAAACGGCCTGATATTTTAAATATCTTAATTGAACGATAATGACCAAAATTTTCTTCTCTTAGTAGAAACAAAAATAAGCGATATTTAAATACCTTAAAAGAACAAAACTAACCAATATTTTACTCTCTCAATAGAACAAAACCAACCGATATTTAAATATCTTAATTAAACAAAACTAACCGATATTTAAATATCTTCCTTTAACAAAAACCAACTAATATTTAAATATCTTAATTAAACAAAACTAACCGATATTTAAATATCTTCATTTAACAAAAACCAACCGATATTTAAATATCTTAATTAAACAAAACTAACCGATATTTAAATATCTTCCTTTAACAAAAACCAACTAATATTTAAATATCTTAATTAAACAAAACTAACCGATATTTAAATATCTTCATTTAACAAAAACCAACCAATATTTAAATATCTTAATTAAACAAAACTAACCGATATTTAAATATCTTCATTTAACAAAACTGACCGAAATTGTCATTTTTTCAATAGAACAAAAGGTACCAACATTTTAATTTCTTAAAGGAACTAAACCAGTCTACAGTTTCTATTATAGATTATCATGGGTAATGTTGACGTGACTTCAGCACTAAAGGCTGTTGTGTTGATTGGCAGCGGCTCCGTACTGGATCAGTGCTCCCAGGAATCTGGTTCTGGCTCCGAAGGAGATGGGCATCATCACGTGCCGGGCCGCCGGACACCCCAAACCCAGCATCCGCTGGCTGGTGAACGGCCTGCCCATCGAGGGTCAGTGACTGTGTGTGTGTGTGTGTGTGTGAGAGAGCTGCTTCAGCGCTGTGTGTGTGTGAGAGCTGCTTCAGCGCTGTGTGTGTGTGTGACACTGTGTTGTTGGTGACAGATGCTCCTAAAGACCCCAGCAGGAGAGTGGAAGGAGACACCCTCATATTCTCCGAGGTCCAGACGGGCTCCAGCGCAGTTTACCAGTGTAACGCCTCCAACCAATACGGATACTTACTGTCCAACGCATTCGTCAACGTACTGGGTGAGAGAATCAGAAACAAGAAACACGTCTGTTCACGGGAGAATAATGCTTCATCCCCCCCAAAAAAGACTTTATATTAGAAATAAAGCCTGAAGTGTTTAGAATTGTTAAGGTTTGCTGCATTCTGACATTATTTCCATGACAACAAAGCACATAAATGCCAGTCCTGATTTGTTACATCTGAAAAAGGTCATGATTTTACTGTCCTAAAATATTGATAAAATATTAAATGTGACCCTGGAGCACAAAAGCAGTCATAAGCAGCACAGGTATATTTGTAGCAATAGCCAACAATACATTGTATGGGTCAAAATTATACATTTTTCTTTTATGCCAAAAATCATTAGGATATTAAGTAAAGATCATGTTCCATGAAGATATTTTGTAAATGTCTTGCTATAAATATAATGTTTGATTAGTGATATGCATGGCTAAGAACTTCATTTGGACAAATTTAAAGGTGATTTTCTCAATATTTAGATTTTTCTGCACCCTCAGATTCCAGATTTTCAAATAATTGTATCTCGGCCAAACATTGTCCTATCCCGAGAACCACATCTACCTGGAGGTCAAAGGTGAGGGATTCAGCACTGAGCCCCTTCATCACTGTTAAGTCCTCTAAATCACAGCTTTTCAAACTGGAACTGTGGGAAAAAAATAGAGAAAAACTAATAATAAAATAATAATAAACAAACCATAAAAATGGATTAAAATAAATATTTAAAAACAGTGATTTAAATAAATAAATGATAAAATATTATTAAACTAACTAAATGAGTAAAACAAGTATTAAAATAAATGTTAAATATATAACTTATATAGATTAATACATTCTAAAATATTATTTAAATATATAATAAAATGATTTATATAAATACATAATTATTGATGATTTAAATAAATCAATAAATGATTAAAAATGATATAAATAAATAATGATGTAAGATGAAAATAAACAAATAAATAAATAATGTAACATCACTGTTAAGTCCTCTAAATCACAGCTTTTCAAACTGGAACTGTGGGAAAAAAATAGAGAAAAACTAATAATAAAATAATAATAAACAAACCATAAAAATGGATTAAAATAAATATTTAAAAACAGTGATTTAAATAAATAAATGATAAAATATTATTAAACTAACTAAATGAGTAAAACAAGTATTAAAATAAATGTTAAATATATAACTTATATAGATTAATACATTCTAAAATATTATTTAAATATATAATAAAATGATTTATATAAATACATAATTATTGATGATTTAAATAAATCAATAAATGATTAAAAATGATATAAATAAATAATGATGTAAGATGAAAATAAACAAATAAATAAATAATGTAACAATATAAACTTTTTTTTTTTCAAATAATATTTTACACATAAATTTTTCCACAGCATAATTTTTGTTTTTATACATGAAAATATATAGCTGACTTTTACATTTTAGGTTGTGGATAATTATATTTGTGGGTCCGTGGCATCTTAAAGATTGAAAAACGCTGGTCTAAATAACTCTGTCTAACCAAGAGAAAATATTGTGAGTTGTGAGAGTGTTTCAGTGCGTGCTCATGCTGCACTTTTAAAATGAACAGACATGGATATTGGTCTTAATGGCTACTCTATCCCATCATGCATCGTGTTTAGAGGCTCCAGGCCTTAGCTTGCATGTTTTTCACTTTTCAAATGGCACTTAAGTGTGTCTCTGAAGAGCACAACAGGAAGTGTGCTGTATTAAGAGCATTAGGAAACGATCCATCGGTGGATCATCGGACCTGATGAGAGATGGAAACTCACGATGAACGCTGCTTTGTGTGACGTTATCAGGGTCCAAACCTCTGGTTTGACTGGATGAGAGTGTGCTGAGGTTTGCTCATCTGTAGCATCTCTCTCTTCAGAGCCCACGAGGATCTTGAGGCCGCCGGAGTACCGGGTGGTCCAGAGGAACCGGGACGTGGTGTTTGAGTGTAAAGCCAAGCACGACCCATCACTCGTGCCCACCATGACCTGGCTGAAGGACGACGGAGAGCTGCCTGATGATGAGAGGTTTAAGAATCACAATCACACGCTGTCTGATCATGTCATAATCTGATGGTGTTTTCACCTCTCAGCTCATCATTTTTAACTTGTTCAAATACTGGGTACAATCGTTATGTTCTGGGTGAAAATTACTGATCAATGCAATCCACCAAAAATTACACTATGAAATAAATGTGGTTATAACGTTTACCACTAATACTTCCCACACATTATTTTATTTTATTTTTTTAAATGCATTAAAGTTTTTAAAATTTTTCCATAAGCTGTGAATATTATAACTCGTATTCGAACCATTTTCTAATATTTGCAAGACATTTTAAACAGAAAAAGTGTGGAAAAGCACTTCTTCTGTGTGTTTCCTGAAGTAGAGTGTGGCGCTCGCAACAGCGAGATTATGGGTTTGATTTCCAGCAAACTGAACATGCATGAACTGATAATAAATATGCACATTTAGTTTCAAGGATAAAGGCATCTGCCAAATGCAGAAATGTTCCAACATCAATTCTTTTTTTTTTTTTTCATTTGCATTTGCATTTAACCATGAAATATCCGGGTCATAATCATATTATACATTCCATACACACATTCCACAACATTTCAGAGTGTTGAAACTTTGCTGGTATGTTTATGAGTCAAAATGAGAAAAAGTCTGAACATTTCAAGAAAGACATACAAGGTTAACCAGTATTTCTTACAACTCAAAAATCGGGTCAAACTGACCCTGAACGTACAGTAATATGTGGGTTAAAGTCATCTCATAGTATATCCCGGAAATGAGCAACAAAATATTTCATATTTTTGTCTTTCAAACACTTTTAGGTGAGTAACAGTTTGAGTAGATGTTGTAGAAATGATGAGAATTACTGACAGGTGAAGTCTGCAGGTTTTAGGTGTCATTAGCGTTCACAGGATCAGTTTGAGTGTCTGCTGATGTACTGTGGGGAGCCGGTCTGAGGGTTTTGTGTCTGATAACAGGTTTAGAGTGGACTCGGACAGTCTGACCATCACAGACGTCACAGAGAGCGATGCGGGGACGTACACGTGCATCATGAACACCACGCTGGACCAGGACTCGGCCAGCGCTCAGCTCACGGTGGTCGGTGAGTGTTTGTGTGCTAACCGAGTGACTAGATCCAGTGTCTCTCTGGATTCATTCAGATACGAGGGATTTTATTGACAGAAAAGCCAACTAACATAATAAGAAGAAGAAGAAGATTAAGCTAACTAAATAGATAAATAAAAATGTATTTAAATAAATATACAATTATTTAAATAAGTAAATAAAAAAATTACAATACACATAGAAAAAAAACTTAAAAATAGAGAAAAACATAATAGAAAACAAGGTAATTTTTTTAATTTAAATTTTTTTTTAAGTAAAATAAATAATAAAATAATTTAAACAAACAAATCTAAATTTGTTTAAATAAATACATTTGTTATAAATAAATAAATAACAGTTTATTTAAAATCAATAATTAAAAATTAGAAACAATATTTTAAAATATTAACAGAAAATCCAACTAAAAACAAGATTAAACTATCTAAATAAATAACAATTGATGGAATAAAATAATAAAAACAATGATTTAAATAACAAGCAGTTGATTGTAATCAATAACTAAAATATAAATACAATTTAAAAATGTATGAATAAAAATTAAAATAAATAATTAAAAGCAAATAAACATTGACAGAATAGTGCATTTTAGAATTATTTTAGCTAGAAGTGTGTAATTGTCTGTAAATTAACACATCTCTTCCTCACTCCTCTAACCCCTCCCACTCAGAGGCCCCGCCCACTCCCGCAGTGATCTACGGTAAACACACAGCTCATCACATCCCATAATGCCCTGGGCTTGTGTGTGGTGAGGTTCATGGAGCATGCTGTTGTGTGATCACATTGATCTGTCTTCTGATTTGGCTTTGGAGTCGTTCTGTTGATTTCCACATGAAGGCGTATTTAGAGTTTGCATGACTCATCACGTGAATGCGCTTTAATTTGTGCGTGTGCAGACATGCAGCTGATGATGTCATCACGCAGCATGTGCTTGTCTGATCATGTGATCATGAGTTGATGAATTGATTCATGTTTATTTTGACAAAAGTACTTAGCACTGCATGCTGTCATTAAAAAAGCAAAGTGCAAATCCAGGACTCTTTTCTCTGAGATCAACAAACTTGTTAAACCACCATCTCTACAGAAATTTCAGACATTTATTCTACAGTAAATTTACAGTATCTATCTATCTTTCTCTTAATTTGCTTCCCCAGAATTCTCTACTTCCCTGCTAGACTTTTTACTCACCAATACATCTGAGATTGAATAGCTGATTGTTAAATCAAATTCTATAATTGTGTTGATATTGGATCAACTCAAGATTGATCCAGTACCAACACACACAGTCAAAAACATTCTGCCTTATCTTTTTTTACCTATCATCCACACGATAAACAGATCCCTTGCTACTGGACTAAAAATAGCTGATGTAACCCCAGTGCTTGATAACACAGTCCTGAGTAAATGTAGACCCATCTCCAACCTCCCCTTTATGTATATTAGAAGTATCAGAAAAAGGACAAATTTGTCTAATTTAGACAAGTCCCATTTGTGAACCATTGAGTCTGGTTTTCGTCCTCTCCACAGTACAGACACTGCTCTTTTAAGAGTAGTGAATGACCTCTGACTCTGGTGCCCTCATCCTTCTGCTCCTCTGATCTGAGTGCAGCTTTTGATACAGATTGCCATTCAGTATTATATCTCGACTATCTGTTATCAGCAGATCTCGTTTCCCGTGGTGTACCTCAAGGTTCGGTTCTCGGTCCACTTCTGTTTCTAATCTATATGCTTCCTCTTGGTCAGATCATTCAGCCTCATGGTCTGAACCTCCATATTTATGCTGATGATGCACAAATCTATCTTACTGTACAGCCCAATTCTGTTTTTCCTCCCATTTCCATCACTTCCTGCCTATGAGATCTCAAACCATGGATGCTGAAAACTTCTCAAAACTGAATGCTGACAAAACAGAAATCCTTTTAGTAGGCCCTAAATCCCTTATCTCCTCCCAAAATGACACCTTCATTCACATAATGATGGAGTTACAGTAAATTCTTCACCCATTGTATGGAATCTTGGGGTATTATTTTATTCCAAATTATGCTTTAAACCTCACATCTGCCAGTTTGTTAAATCTTGCTTTTCTACCTTCGCTAAATTGTTTGTATATGACCTTTGCGAAATCACAAAGATGCCGAAGCTGTTATCCATGCTTTAACCTTGCATCTGAACTATTGTACAGTAACTCTTTGTTTTGGTGCCAACCCACTAAAGCCCTTAATTTCTTGCAACTAGTTCAAAACTCTGCTGCTCATGCCCTTACATTGAAAAATAAATCAGCTCACATCACTCCCATCCTTCAGCACTGCACTGACTCCTATTCTTTCTTGTCCAAGTTTTTAAGCCTACCATTTAGAACCTTCATATCTTACCGAATTAATACACCCTTACATTCCCGCCTGCACTCTTAGATAGAATTAGTTTGATGTTGGTAGGGTGTTCAGCATTTCAGCTTCTAAGCTTTGAAATAAGCTGACTGAAAACCTCTGTGCTGTCTCCTCACTCCAGACCTTTAAGACTGAACTAAATTCACAATATGTTTTATTGATTGTTTCTTTTTGGTTTTTATTTTGGTTATTGTCTTGTATGTTATATGATCACCATCTGACTGCCTGTTCACAGTGTTGTCTTGATTATATAACTATATTATTTGTATTATGTAAAGTGCCCTTGGGTTCTCGAAGGCAATATAGAAATAAGATGTATTACTATATTAGTATTTATTAGTGGTATTTAACTCTACAGAGCAGCCGGGAGCGCCGACCGATCTGGAGCTGACGGATCCGGGAGCGAGAAGCGTTCAGCTCACCTGGACACCTGGAGACGAACACAACAGCCCTATCAAGAGTACGACACACACACACACACCTGTGTGCATGCTTTTAAAGATCTCTGCATTTCTGTTGGGTGTAAGGATGCTTTCTGAATGACCTTGTGTTCTTGCCGTGTCAGAGTTCCTGATCCAGTATGAGGACGCTCTCCACCAGAGCGGCGTGTGGCACAATCTGACGGAGGTTCCTGGAACCAAGACCACGGCTCACCTGAAGCTCTCTCCGTACGTCCACTACAGCTTCAGAGTGCTGGCGCTCAATAATGTGGGCTTCAGCCGTCCCAGCATGCCCTCGCTCCAGTACAGGACCAGCCCCGCAGGTACGGCCCACGCGTGTTCAAGCTCACATTAGTGTTCATCCGCTCGTCTTTAGTCTCTACCGATAATGTACACAACACAACTCTAATACCTACAGCTCCTGACGAGAACCCCACTGAGGTCAAAGGTCACGGCACCGAACACAATAATCTGGTCATCACGTGGAAGGTAAAACGCTGATTATTAATAAACACCTCATATGATGATATAAACGATGTTATCCCATGATGTTCATTAGAGCCCTATGAATTCCTTTTATTTTTCCTAAATTCAATTTGTTTCAAATTAATTTTGTTGAAATAAATAAATTTTTTGTTTAATTGAAATTATGATTTAACTTTATTAATAGTGAATTAATAGCACTTTATCAATAGTTCAAAAAATAAATTTATTAGGGCCCTATGAAATATGTTTCATTTTTTTCCCCAAATTCCTTTTCTTTTTTTTTTTCGCTTAAAAAATCTTTAAGAAAAATCCCAAATCCCACATGTCCCATTGTAATTTTTACATTTTAATAGTTTAATAAAATGTTTATAATAAAAAATCATGTCTAATCAATTAAATTCATAAAACATTAACAATTAAAATACAAAAATAGGGTCTTATGTATTTATTTATTTATTTATTCAGGAATTGTGTTGTCTGTTTTCATTTTTCTGTATTTATGATTTAATAAGTTTAAGTTTAAGTTTATTTCGAGCAAAATATATATATATATATATATATATATATATATAAATACACACACACAACAAATATATATATATATATATATATACATCAATACACATACATAGAAAAATAGAACAGTTTATCTCACGTATATATGTATCCATACATATACAATTATGTTACACATATCCATACACATATTTACACATATACTTGCTCGAAAGGGAGTGGAAAGAAGTAGAACTTATTTGCTCCCACCCCCAATTCATTCCCATATATTACACCATATGGTTGCTGCCATTGTCTGTTACTAATAATTTATGTGATATTAGAATAGTTATATACAAATACCCAAATACAATATGTCCGTCTCAATAATCACAATAATACATTATAATAATCCTCATTATCATAAACATTCTAATATGTCCCAGTATTTATAATCATGCAATATATCAAATATAACCATATCCTATTATATTGTTAAATCGCAGTTTTATAATAATATTTATAATAAACATTAATATCTGCTCCTGTCATTATCATTATTATTATTTGCTCAGCTATGTAATCGTATCCCGTTCTGTTGTAATTATATCACCATTTATAGTATCAATATTAATCGTAAGAACAATTATGAATATCCCTACTACCGTTTTTT